TTTTATGAGAAACCCCAAAATAAGGTTTAAAAGGTCGCCCATGCGAAAAGTTGTTCTTTTCGCCTGGGCGATTCTCTCAATTTTTTTTTAAACAAATTGTAATAATGATTTTTTTGGCCCGGACAATTTTTTTAAAATTTTTTGGGTAATTCTGGGCATTTGGGCCATTTAAGTCATTTGAGAATTTTTGGGTCATTAAAATAGGTCTTTTGTAATTTTTATGTAAACTTGAATTTACCAAGGACCTAAATTCAAGTTCAAACCTTGTTCTATCGATTTCCTATTCGAATTTTGGACTTTGGATTTTAAAACATTTTTTTCAATCGTAATAAAGCGCTTACGACTGGACGGACGCTCGGGCTGCGGCATGTAGGTATAAGAGAGAGATACAAGATCTATGGCACACATTTTTCTTGATTTGAATTCTCATTGTACAAATAAGAGCCCGCCCTACCAAGCACGGTTCATTAACAATTAAAAACAATGGTTTACAATAAAATAAGATTTTGCATTTTTTCAGTTTTAAATTATTTATAACTCGAAAACGATCATAATTAGAAAAAACTTACAACTAATCTTTTGTGTTCAAAATCATCTAAAAACCTTAAAAAAATTAACTCAATGAATCGCGTACAGCAGTGCGGACGCGAATTTGTACAATTAACAATTTGTGCCATAGATCTTGTTTCTCTCTCTTATACACCCCGCAGTTCGAGCGCCCGTCATGTCATAAGCGCTTCATTAACAATTAAAAAACAAGGTTTGAACTTGACTTTAGGTTCTTGATGAATTCAAAAATAAGCTTTTTTCTGTTGTTTTTAAGTCTTGAAAATCTTAATTTTACGTTTTTTTCAATTTTAAAATTTTTGTATCTCGAAAACGATCAAGTTTACAGAAAAATTACACAAGAAGATTACACAAGAAAAATTGTCCGGATCGGAAAAATTAATTGTTAGAAGTTGTAGAATGTGTTCTAGAAATTCTCTTGCCGTTGGTTGTCCTGCATCGAAATAAAAATATAATACCGTCATTATGTTTTATTTCTTTACTCTGTTGGAGTACAAGAAACTGAATTCACTACAAATTTTGACCATGATGAACGGCATGTGGAATGCATATTTTAGATTCCCTTGCCGACTAATTCATTAATCTGTCTGCTTTATAAGTTGTAGAAAGCACAGTGGTAAAGATTTGAATTCAGTTTCACCAAGTAGGAAATCTTATGATTTCTCTTGTTGCTATTAGATGGCTTGTAACGTCTATTAATAATTATTTCGATAATTATTGTCCTACGACGGGATATATTTCGTTTCGATTTAGAGCAGCAGCATATACCGCTCTGATGAGTCCTAAAGAGGTTGAAATACATATAAGCGGCTTCCCGTTGCCCTGCATCGAAATAAAAATCTAATAACGTCATGTTTTATGTTTAAAAAAATTTGAATAATTTTTCCTCTTGAACCTTATTTTGAGGTATCTGATGAAAGTGAATATGTAAAAAATCTCATAGGAATATTTTTCGAATGAACCCGAGCTTTTCGCCTAGTCTAAATAGAATGCAGTAATATTATGTCTTACTAACAATACCAAAAAAAATTATATTACTTCTTTTGTTACTTAAAACTGGTACCAATGCAGTGATTTTACGAATAAAAATATCAAATATTGAGATCTGAATGAGTTATTTGTCTGAATGACACCAGCTTAGTTTAAACACCACAGTTCTTTAATGAGGAAGAAATAGGGTCATATTCAATCATTTATAAAGGATGAATGTCGATAAATGTAAAACCTCCAAATCTTGTAGAGCAAAACGATTAATAGAAAAAGAGACGAAAATATTATGCACAATAACCATTACAACTTTATGTGATAACAAATAATATAGTATGAAGTGAAAATAAAATAGTATGTGCATAGAATTCGGAAACTAGAATAGTAAAGACATCTCAAAAAAATAGAGGGAAGAAGCATTGGTCAACCTAAAAAATGAACAGGCACTGTGCTTATTAAAGACAATAAAGAAGAAAAATCAAATACTAAAGATATGATTGCTAATAAATTTTAAGAGATAGTTAAGCAAAAATTACATGAGGCAGCAAAATAAAGAAAAAGAAAAATAAATAAATAAAAACATAAACTTGCCGGCGAATGACATAAAAATGAAAACCGAAATATGGACAAATCAAGTCCTCTTCCTCTTCCTCATTCCTTGAGCCCTTGTCAGGCCGTGGTGACGCTCTAAATATTATTGGCTTTTTGCCTCCATTGGCTGCGATCATGTGCCATATGAGCGGTTCTATGTAGTGATTTTTCCACCAGAGTTTTCATTTGGTCTGTCCATCGTGTTGGGGTTCTTCCTTTTGGTCTTTGGCCTTCTGCCTTTCTATCTCCTACCAATATTGCATGGTCCCCGTTCTTCTAGCTATGTGACCGAAGTAAATTAGATATGCTCGTTTTACTTTTTTTTAATAGCCTGTCGTTTATATGAAGCTCTTCCAGAATTAATAGGTTGGTTCTATTTTCTGTCCAGGGCACGCGTAGAATTCTTCTATAGACCCACATTTCGAAAACTTCGATCTTATTCCTATCGAGTTTTTTGAGTTTAACTGCGTATGTAACAATGGGAAAAATAAGGACATTGACCAACCTGAGCTTAGTATAGCTTGTTATTGTTCGGTCTTTCCATATTTTAATCAATATAGCTGTTGAGGTTCGGGTCATTGCTAGCCTACGTTTGATTTCTGAGGAGGAATAGTCATTGAGGGTTATCAGGGATCCCAAGTATACAAATCTGTCTACCACTTCGAAATTAGCCGCTTGGTGTATGTGCAGTAAATTAATACTTGCTTTGTCTGCGATCATTATTTTTGTTTTTTCGATGTTGATCTGAAGTTCGAATTCTTCGCTTATCCGGTTTAGCCGTTTAGTGATGGCAATCATTTCGACTTCATTCGCTGCTACTAGAAGTGTATCATTTGCCTATCGCAGGTTGCTGATTTTTCTGCCTCCTATAGTGATTTCTCTATTCCATTCGTCTAGTACTTTTCTCATTATATATTCAGAATATATGTTGTACAGTATTGGTGATAGTATGCAGCCCTGTCTAGTTCCTTTCTTTGATTTGAACGAATCTAAATATATTCTGTGTACCTATTGTTACTATTTTAAATGTTATGGCGTATAGAACTGTAAATATTTTGTGACTAATTATTTTTTATTGATTCTCGTAATTTCTAAATCAAAATCTACCTGACACCCGTTGGGTCCCCTTCGCTATAAAACGACAAATAAGAGCTTTCTGGAATCGCACCGATACCAGTTTTTTTAGATCATTGCCGCTGTGTCTACGTCGAGAACGGCATCGTATTTTCCACAACAATCTGTTTACCAGCTGGTTTCAAATAAATAACGGAAGATTTTCATTGAGCAGGCAGTCAAAAAGAAGATCGCGATCTCGCGTTAAATTGTATCGAACGCAAATAAATTATTTGTAATTATTAAGTTTAAAATAAATTAGTATAAAATAAAAACTTTTGATAAATTATCGTGAGTTTTAATAAATTAGAATAAGGACAGTAAATTAGAATAAAGACAATACATTAGAATAAAGACAATAAATTAGGACTAATAAAAACATTATACTATTTTAACTTTTGCCGAGTTTTTATCATGCAAATTTTTTGTTACGTTAACTAGGTGGTTAGGTACTCCCATATTTTATTTTATATTCCAGAGAAGATCCCATTTAACCGAATTGAGAGTCTTTGTGTAATCTATGAAACAGAGCAGCATTGGTATGTTGTGTTCTCTCGCTTTTTTTATTATCTGTCTGGTGTTCAGTATCTGCTCCCGCGTTCCTTTTCCTGGTACGAATTCGCATTGTTCTTTAGATATCTCTGGGCTGCAAATCAAGTAGAGTACTATAAATATAATAATATATGGGTGAATTGGGTATAGAACTAGCATTAAAACGAAGGTGTCAAAAGCGCAGAAAAATTTACAATGATAGTAAAAATGAATACAATATTTTTCCGCTAGTTTCCGATATATAACATACAGTAAAATATATGTGAATGAAACAATAAATAACCTGAGGAATTGCCAGCCAACCAGGAGACACTCTTATGAGTTAAAGAAGTATGCCCCAAATTTACGAACTAGCATCAAAACGAGGGTGTAGAAAGTACAGAAAAATTTAGAATCGACAGTAAAAATATTACTATTATTATTAATAATCTCTATGAATCCCAGAAAAAGGTGTGGAAGATTATATGGCGACAAAAAACAGAAATGAATGAATTTGTACGCAGAGATAACATTACGGAGGAACAATGGACTGCGCATTTCACAAAATTATATGGAGAAGGAGAGGAAGAGAACAGAGAAATAATCATTAACGGAACCCACGATAGAGTACTAATATCAGAAGAAGAGCTACAAGAACTAATAAAAAATTAAAATTCTTAACGGCAGTCATAAAAGATAAAATCGAGGAAAAAGCGAACATGTTTGATGAATAACCGCAGCACAATAGACGCAATTTTTATTATCAGACAAATAATAGAGAAGTCTATTGAATATGGAAAACCATCATTTATGTGCTTTGTAGATTTAAAAAGTGCTTTTGACAGGGTGAAGCGAAATGACATCGTAAATGTATTACAAGCTGAACAAATAGACCATCCGATAGTAAGGATAATTAATTAAATTAACAAAAACAACAAGACAGGAGTTAGAATGCCAACAGGAAAAATAGAATGCATAGAACTTAAAGGAGGATTCCGAGTCTTTTTCCGCTAAGAAGACTCGCTCAGTCCATTGTTATTCGATATGGTATTGAATCAAATAATTCACGAAGAAAACGACACGGATACCACATGGGAGCGCATAGAATCTCGATACTATGCCATGTCGCTGATGCAGTACTAATTGCTGATAACGAAGATGACCTACAAAAGCAGCTCCACACCTTCAATATCACAGCAAACAAACTTAATATGGGAATATCAATAGAAAAAACGACATGTATAGTGATCAGTAAAGAGCCGCGTAGATGCAAACTATAGTGTATTTTTATGTATGAGAGAGTAATAAAACAATAAATTATGTATGCAAATCCCTACACTGTTGATACCGGTGACTCAATGAAAAACAGATATTTGTCAACAAGTTTACAGAAGTATATAGGAAAACAATTTTAAATTGAGTATGACCACCAGGTATAAAGGTTGGATCAGAATAGAATACAATAGTTGTGAGGGTTACTAATCCCTAAATAAGGTTCCCAGTGTCGGAGTGATGGAGGTTAACAGGTACTAATGAATTTGCAAGAAATGTAAGATGTTTATTTTATTGGTTATATATAACCAATAAAAGTTTAATAAGTACCTACCTATTTGCAAAATAAAGTTTAATTCTTTAGATAAAATAAAACGTTTTATTTTATCTGAAATGAGTGCATTCTACGAAGTAAGGGTTTCAACAATCAAACATTTAATTCTTTAATTCCAGGAATCTACGACAGTAATTGACTAGATAATTACCTTCTAAACTTATTCCATAGAAAATGTGATAGTGGGTTTTTCCATTTTGTAGGAAGGTCCAAGTGGTGAATTCAAAATTCTTAACAGTTCACTAAAAGTAGGTACTTCAGTTGCAAGGTGCAGTTTATTGTGTATACTAGTGTTATCGAAAATTTGGAAGTGCCGTGTAAACGCCGAAAAATTGGTCCTTTAAAAGTTAATGAAAAAACATTAATATTTAATTGTTTTAAATCATTTATAGACAAACGTTTATGTGAAAGTCTTGATGAGACCGTTGAGTTAGTTAGCAGTACACTTGGTGTTGGGAAATCTACGATTTACAGAGTTATTAAAGAAGAGAAATGTGGTAGTTTTCAAATGCCACGTAATGCTCCAGGGAACCAAAATTTCAAATAGAATATCATTTTAAAGAAGGACTTCGACGGAAAGTGCATGAATTCTTCTTTAGACAAGAATTTCCAACATTGGATAGAGTTCTTGTCTCAGTTCGAGATGATAAGGATTACCCAGAAATGAGTCGAAGTACGTTATGGAAACTTTTAAAAGAAATAGGCTTCCGCTGGAAAAAGAACCCCAGAAAGTCTATTTTATTAGAAAGAAGCGATATTGTCATATGGAGAAGACATTTTCTAAGAACCATAAAGGAAATGAGAAACCAAAAAAGAAAAATATTTTATCTTGATGAAACATGGATCGACGAGGGTCATACACCAAATAAATTTTGGCAGGATGAAACTGTTACAAGTCAAAGGCACGCTTTTGTAAATAACTTATCTACTGGTTTAAACTCACCATCAGGAAAGGGACGCAGGCTGATAATAGTACACATTGGCAGTTCAGACGGTTTTGTTGAAGGTGGTTTATTAACTTTTGAATCAACTCGTACCGGTGACTACCATGAAGACATGAACGCTGATGTCTTTCAAGAATGGTTCGAACAAATGATAGATCTTCTTCCTAAGAACTGTGTAATAGTAATGGATAATGCAAGGTATCACTCCAGACTTATAGAAGGACTGCCCACAACCAAGTGGTTAAAAAAAGACTTGCAGAATTCAAAAAATATTACGTACCATCCCGGATCTATAAGAAAGGAACTTTATTCGTTGTGTGCCCTTCATAAAGAAAAATTTAAAAAATACGAAATTGATGAAATTGCCAAAAATCGTGGAATGACAGTACTTAGATCCCCACCATATCATTGTGAATTAAACCCAATTGAACTGGTATGGGCACAGATAAAGAGTGAAGTTTCAAGAAAAAATACCACTTTTAAAATTCATGATGTTAAACAGTTGTTTTTGGAGGCCGTAAATAATGTAAAACCTGAAAACTGGGAAAAGGCAGTAAATCACACTATTAAAGAAGAGGAAAAAATGTGGAAGCTGGACAATATTACTGATAAAATGATCGAGCCGGTTATTATAAATCTTGGTTCTGAAAGTTCATCTTCTGAATCTGATTTGGATTTGTAACAAGTAGCTGTAAGTTTTATATTAATATTTTTATTCATTTATTTAACATACCTTAGACGGTTTTAAAAACTCTTTTTCTCTTTTGTAATTTTTAAAAATTAAAAAAAAATGTGAATTTTTTAAAACCTTTTTTAATGTAGGCCAGTCAGTTCTAATATAGTGTGTGATAAAAGGGGTCACTTTTGTTTACATGCACATAACACTTTATAACACTGAAATAATTCATTTATTTTTTACAATTATTCAAAGTAATTTTTCAATTAATCTTGAGCACGCCCATGGAGTGGTCGGAGGTACCACTTAAAATTATGCTAATTACTCTCTCGTTCATAAAAATAAACTATAGAATTAGACGGCAAAATTGTAGAACAAGTAATGAAATTCAATTACCTAGAAGTATTGATTACTAGTGACAGGGATATAAGAACAGAGACCACAAGGCAAGCATTAAAAGCGGCAAGAGTAAGTGGTTGCCTCCGAGAAATCACATGGAGAAACAAACATCTGACCACGGAAAGCAAAATGAAAGTATACAAGACAACAGTAAGACCAATCCTAACATATGCAGCGGAAACAAGGACCGATATAAGAAAGACGAAACAACAAATAAACAATATCGAAATGAAATTGTTAAGATTAATTAATAGCGGACATATTATTAAGAGACAGACAAACCAACAAAAGTATACGCGAACAATGCAAAATTCAAAATATTAACAGGTGGATAAAAACAAGAAAAAAAACTGGAACGAACGTGTAAACCGAATGGGACCAGATAGATTAGCGAACATCTGTAAAAACAACAAACCGTATAGCAGAAGACCCGTTGGAAGGTCGCCAAAAAGGTGGAAAGATAATGTACAGTCAACAACGACTAAAACAGAATAAGAGGCAGACAAACAGGAGTAATCCTAGTCGCACGAAGAAGACGAAGAAGAAGACAGTAAAAATAAATACAATGTTTCTCCGCTAGGTTCCGATATATAACATACAGTAAGATATATGGGAATGAAACAACAAATAACCTGAGGAATTGTCAACCAGGAGACATTCTTAAGACTCATTTATAAGTTAAATATACAAAAAAGGAGATAAAATAATTTCTGTCTGTTTTAACATATATCTACAACCTTTTTTTTTCAGTAACTCCTTTTGGTTTAAACCTCGAAAACTTTCCGAATTCCACAAGCATTTTTTTTGTTTTTATTTAAATGAATTTGAAAATTTTATATTACTTCTTTATTAGAATGTAAAACATCGCAAATTCAATTAATATAGTTTGTATATATTAATCATTCATGACAAAAACATAGAAAATAAATTAAACCGCAATTAAATGCAATAAAAAATAATTCGCTAATGACTACCAAGTTTGCATTGATTAATAATATATCCATATATTTAATATATCACGCAATAATTAACAAATAGTAACAAATTTGAAACAAAAATAACAGCCACCAATGACCTTAGACGTCTTATACCGATATACTTACTTCTCAGGAGTTTGAAACAAAATTATTCAAATTATTTCTGTATTGCACTACTATACTTTGTTTTTTAACCAGCAGGAGTAAACCAAAAAGACAGATTCACACTCAAGAAAGTTACTAGAAAAGTCACCAAATACATCTTCTTTTTTTGTTGATTATCTCGGCCTTGCGGTAATCGAGTAATCAATATTGGACAACTTCACACGTCAATTTTAACCTAACTTTGTTTATTTATATTTGAATAATAAAATAATTTTTTTCAATTCACTTCCAATATATATTACAATTATTACAATAAAAAAAGGACGTTTTTCACATTTGGTCCCATTTATATATATTTAAATATCGGGTGATCCAGTTTTATAGATCTCTTAAGTCTATGGTATTTAATTATAATTTAGAGAATATTTTGATTGGGAGAGTCAATAATGTTAGAGATCTAAGTATGGTTTTTCTCAGAAATTTGTCTTTTATCTGGTATGATCAATTTCTTGAATCTAGTTTGTTTTCTTGTTAGATACTTTGTATAAATAAGTGTGTACTTACAATTTCTTTAATGCTGGATTGTTGTTTAATTTTGTCAGTGAGTTTGTTATTATTACCATTTGTTATCAACAAATAAAATTTACTAAAAAATACTGGATTTCTGTGAGATAATCAACAAATCCAATCTATTATGTTACATTCTTGCATAATTTTGCAGTCTTCTTGTGATGATCTACAACCAGGAAGAACAAAACCAACTGTATCAAACAATCAAACTAAAACACAACATTACTTTACTAATGTTCTTTTATTGTGATGAAAACAAAATGGAAATGCTTCTTAACAAGTATACACTAAATTTAAAAGATAGTTGCCCTTTTTCTTATGATAATTAGATATAAATAATATAGATTTATAAATTTATAAACACTTTAAACTATATTTAGTATAAATATCATCTAGAAAAATATCACATTAAATACTATTCGCATATCACCAAGTCCAAGTTATTACAAACAACTTAAAGAGTCAGAAATCGATTTATATATTAGAGGAAAAGAATAATAATAAATAAATTTCACAAATGTCATTAGTGTTAATATGTCATAATTTAGTGGAGTAAACTTGTCTGCGGTTGGACCAATTGCAAAACAAGCATTACGGCGCGGCAAATTTGAATTACTCCTCCTGGTTAAAAAACAGACCATAGTTATACACGGTTTAACAGGCAGTGATACCTACTAACAGTTTTATTTTATTGGCAATAAATTTATGTATGATTTGAAAGATCACAAAAAAACACAAAAAAGCTGTTGGATAAATAATTTGAGGTATAAATTTGCAATAAGCAAGCGTTAAGAAATTGACAAATTTCCACCATGTGACGTTGAACTTTAGCAACTTAGAAAAACTTTATGGCAAGCTAATAAGTGGAATGATGCTTACCTTGCAATTATTCCTCTTAAAGAGCCAACTAATCAGCAAAGAAACAATCAGATGTAAAATAAAAATTGATGGCATCAGTGTTGAACAAGTAATGAAAATAAAATAGGTACCTGGGAATTACACTGTTCAGCTATAAAGACCTGGTCAAAGAAGTGAGAGATCAAGTAAAAAAGCATGATGCCAGTCTACTGAGATGCCAGAACACTATATAGCAAAACAGATACATTAACACTGATATGAAGTCTTCTTCTTCCTCCTTCTTGTATGTCTTTCTTCTTCAATATTAGCCTCCCAAATTGTTTAAATTATCGCACCATCTTTTTCGTGGTCTGCCAATACTTCTTCCTCCATTTAGTAACTTATCTCGTGCTATTCGTACTATCCCATCCTTTCAGATTCTATTAATTTGTTCGTTCCACTACTGTTTCCATTTTGTCACTCATCTCTTTATGTCTTCCATATTACATGTTTTTCTTATGTTTTCGCTTTTCTTACTATCCAATAGACTTTTCCATGATATTCGTCGGAATATTTTCATCTCTGTTGTTTCTGGTAGTTGCCCCGTTTTAGATGTGTCAGGTTTTGTCTTCGCGTCTATGTTAATATAGGTCTAATTGCTGCTTTATAGATGCTTGTTTTTGTGTCTTGTCTTAGGTGTTTGTTCTTCCAGATTGTGTTATTAAGAGGTCCCGCCGCTTTACTTGTTTTTAAGCTTTGTAGTTTTAGTTCTTCAACATCTCCGTAACTAGTTATATCTACTCCCAGATATCTAAACCTTGGTTCCTGCTTTTTAATTTATTTTTAATCAATTTCGATTTTACATCTTCTTTTTCATCTTCTTCTTTTTATATAGACATGACTTTGTATGTTTTTCAATGTGTCTTCCGTAAGTTGTCGTTGTATTATTTTCGTGATCTTCCTACTGATCATCTTCCTTTTGGGGAACCATCTCTTGCCGCCTTTACTACTTTATTTGTTGTCATTTGGCTTATATGATCGTTCCATTTTACTCTTCTATTTCTCACCCAGTTCTTGATATTCTCCACCTTGCATCTACGTCATATATCTGTACTTCTAGCTCTGTCTCATAGTGCCTTACCATCAATTTTACGAAGTGTTTTCATCTCTGCTGTTTCTAACATCATTTTTGTCCTTTCTGTGTCAGGTCTATGTCATTATTAGTCTGATGACTATTTTGCAAATTCTGCCTTTCGTTTCTTTCCCGATATTTATATTTCTCCATATTGTTTTATTTAGGCAGTCTGCGGCTCCGTTTGCTCTATTCGCTTGATCTTCCACTTCAGTTTCGAGCTTTCCGTAGCTGGATAATGTGATGCCTAGATATTTAAACTACATCACTTATTCTATTCCTTCTGGACCTTCCAGCTCCAATTTCCATTTTAGTAAATTTGCTATTCTAACCATGCATTTTGTCCTTTTTGGGGAAATTAGCATGTTAAATTAGCATATATTAAATTGGTGCAGCATACATTGGGAATCATCTTCACTTTGAGTGAGTAGTATTGCGTCGTCTGCATAGCAGATTATTTTAAGTTGTTATTCTCCCATTTGGTATCCTTTTTTGGTTTTTACTTTGTTTATTATTTCATCCATAATATGGTTGAACAATAGAGGACTCAGGAAATCTCCCTGTCTTATCCCATTGCGAGCTTCAATAGGGTCGGTTAGTTCTTCTTCGAGATTTACTTTTATTGTGTTGTTTTGGTAAATATTTTCGATCGTGTTGATTATTCCAAGAGGTATCTCTCTTGCATACAGAAGAGTATCTCTTGCATAACGTCTTTTAATTTAACCCGGTCAAATGCCTTCTTAAGATTTTACATTGTAGTGGGTTTTTAAATGTTGTCATACATTTGGTCTTTTCTGCTGATATTATCATATTGTCTTTCTTGGCTGTTGTATTGAAGATGTATGTTAATCTTTGGAGCTCGTCTTCTATCACGGCGATTCATGCCTCGTCGTCTGCATAACATAATATTTGGATTTCTTTGTTCCCCATTCTGTAGCCATGACCTTTACGTGCTGCTTGTATTATTTCGTCCATTATTATATTAAAGAAAAGTGGGCTTGAAGAAAAGACTAACCGTGTTAGTTTTCCATTTATCTTTACCTGTATTTGATTATGGAAGTAGATGTTTTCGATAGTTTGTAGTGATGTTTGATGTTTGAGATAAAGTCAATAATTTATAAAGCTAGTGTAAGACCAATAATGACATATATCGCAGAAACAAGACCTGACACAGACACAATGCAAAGGCTACTGGAAACAGAGTTGAGAGTACCAAGAAGAAAAACTGGAAATACGCTGAAAGATCAAAACAGAAGTGAAGACAGAAAAAAATGTAACGTACAGTGTATAAATAAATGGACACAAAATAGAAAAAAAGAATGGAATAACCATTCCATACAGGCATTAATCCTCCAATGAATAAGCAGAATTGCTTATAAAGACTAAGAAGAAGAAGAAGAAATTTAAAGCACTAAAAAAATGTAAAGATGAGAAAAATGCCTTTTCAGCCGGTTACAAAGAGCGCTACTGCGATTTGTAAGAAACTACATTAATTGATAACTTCAACATGATGACGTTATATCGCGAAAATTTTAAAAAGGTCTATTTTAGCAGCATTGCTAATAAATAAAACAGTGGTAATCATAAATTCGTCTGAAAAGCGGAAAACAACTAACATTTAACAGTAACAAACACCTAGTGTTAGATATCAATAAAAAACAAGATACTTAATTATTGCAATAGTAGTAATAGATAAAAATGAAAGTTATAAACCGTATAATTGTATAAATATTTAAACATTTGAAAAAGCAGATTCAAAACAACCAGATCTATGTGTACCAGTAGTTTTTGCTGTTGATTTTAGCAAACTAGTGAAAAAAAGTAAAATGGTTTAAAAAGATAAAAGATCGAATTATATTATTACCGTAATAGAA